AGATTATGATGATTCAATNAAGATGTGTCNCCAATCGGCCTAGATTCCCGTGTCTGCGCTGCTCGTATGGAGAGAATTAATGGGCATGCGCTTGAAGAAAAGTCCAAAGGCTCAACTTATTGGATGCCAATTGCAGCCATGATTTTGCAATCATGAGTTCAGATCTTCTAGAAAGGTCCCCCACATCGAAGTACCCAGGCATCTTATCGAAAATACAGTTGCGGAGGATTCGCTTCTCATGTCTGCTGTCTGCGAGGCTCCTGTAGCTCTCTGGATCTGGAAGCTGTCTCGTTATGTCGTCCATCGCTAACAAGATCCCCTTTGACTGGCACAAATGGTTCCCTACCGCCAACCGTTTCAAACAGCTGGATCTTCGACTGCTACTAGCACTATCGTTTGGGGGAGTCTGCCTACTTGGCTTCCTGCGGGCCGCATGGAGGGACTACAGGACATACATGGCCTACGGTCCCAGTGAACTTCCGTACAGTCTGCGAGGCTGGTTCATTTCCAGTGCTCTTATGCGACTCCTCGCAACCGACGTCTTCAGCACCGACTTGTACGAGAGCGATCCCGACAAGAGAAGCTGGCTGCCACAAGACTCGCCCAAGCGCGAGCGCGGTCCACGACCGCAATTGGGACCGCATCCTATGCCTCAGCGTCAGCTGGATCAATACTCCCCGGTGGATGTTCGATTGGTACGTTCTATTTCTCTGCCGGATATAGCGAATGCTGGCTGACTACTCCTTCTATAGAGGCTCGCCGAAGCATTCTCTCAATTAGTCGCCGACCATCCTAATCTCCTTCAGTTCAAGCCTTCCCTTCATGAGGGACACACCACTCAGAGCATCTTTATCGCTGATGATGTCGCAGCATCGCCGATTGCACAGGAAATGTTTGGGGAGGTTTCTCATATTCACGCCATTGGCGATCACACAGTGCATGCTGTGTTGGCCCCTCAAGATTGTAATCCAAGCTGACGTCGCTACCCATGCTTCTTTGGGATGCGAACGAGACAAAGTGCCTTACTGACACGGACGGTAGGCAAGAAAGTGATCGAGATGGGCTGGGGCCAGCGCCATCCTCTGGATGGAGTCGAGATGACCAGGCACATATTCGGCTGGACGCTGCCCAAAGAGTATATCCTCCTCTACGCCCCTCGAACCGACGAGGAGCTCCAGACCGTGATGGAGATTGTCAAGGCCTCTGCTGGTTACATGACCAATTCCCAATTCGACGTTAAGCAGCCAATGAGAGATAGCTAGGCATGTATTCACGTACTTAGTTCTCCTATGGTGGGTCGATATGTGCCCTAAAAAGGTGTCATTCACTTGTTGCAGGTGAATCATATAGTCTAGTGAATGGTCACTGTGACCAGTAGTACAGTAGATAAGACGAGTCACAATGCACACCATACCATAGTAGAACATTCTGCACATGATGATACAGAATACCTAACTGGGCAGCTGACCAGGTCCTTGACAAACATGGTCTAGTCACGTGATCAACTACCACATTGGGCAAGAGGTGGTCATCTTACCTCACATGATCACATCCCATCCGTCCCTCTCACCTTCCACACTCACACAACCTTCACACACGTGACAGAACTCGCCACCTTGCACCACTCCTCCAACTGCGCCACCGCTAACCTGATCTTGCCTGGCAGCCCGCCACCTGCGCTGTCCCACCCTTTTTTCCCTCTTTCTGTCCCTCGACCGGGCTCAAACTGTCCTGCGTTCGAATCGCGTCCCTGTCGCCACCAAAATATCACCACCTCGATGCTCACCCCCTAGAATCGAGAAGGAACAGTCTGCGCTGGTCTGTCTGCTAGACCGGCCAGGGGAAGGGCACGATGGCTCCGAGCTTTAGAGATCTTATCGATTATTTACTGTCGGAGATTGCGCTCTGTGGTGACCAGGGTATGTCCGATTTCCCTTTTTTCCCCTCTTGTTAATTCCTCGAGTTCGTCCCGTGACGTTTATTTCTCCGCGACAAAGGATTAGTCTTTTCTGTTATGCTCCTTCTATAATTTTTCCGTTTTCTTGTGTTTTTATTCTGAATTTCTTGAACCAGCAATTTCACTTGTCCTTTGACATATTATCATGAATCCCATTTCGACCAATGTTATTGTTGCTTGGAATTTGACAGTAGTATATAATGTTATTGCCCTGCCGTTGTTTTCGATACATCGACTATTTTGCAGCCAGTTTGAGTGACATGTGCTAAACAAGTACAGGTGCAACTCCTGCGGAAGTCTTATCGTTTATCGATGCTTTTTACAAGAACCCGCCTTCAGGTGGAGCTCTTGCAAGATCCAATCGGAAACCTCTCATCGACCGTCGATTCCAGGAGAAAGTCTGGACCTGGTTGACGAGGCATCCAGAGGTTTCAGTGGGCAAAAACAGAGAAGGGAATGGACTCACTCTAGCTGAGGCGGAAGGCGCTCAGTCGATCAGCGCTCCTGTCGCCGACGAAACCAAGCCGTCTCTCAGCCAAACCGGTGGACCTCGAGTCTTCGTTTCCCAGGAAAGAACTTGGTTGGCGATCACGGGCCATGAACCGGACGAATCTAGAGTGCTGCCCACGGAATTTGCTCTTTTGTCGATCATTGCGTCCCGCAAATCTCAAGGCATAGTTCAGACTGAACTGGTCAAGGTGAGCGGCCAGGACAAACGATCGGTTCCGAAAAGGACAGATGCATTGCAGCAGAAAGGCTACATCGAAAAGCGCGCCGTCCAAGTGAAGGCGTCGCGAACCAGCTTATGTACCTTGCGGAAATTCGTCCCTGAGACCCCAACCTTCAGCGCCACCGAAACACCCGCAGACCGAGGACCAAAACCAAAGCATGAACCGGGCGACATTATAGACTTTAAAGTCTTTATCGACAGGCTTTTCGGTATCTTGAAGGAATACAAGATCATCGCGCGCAACGATCTCAAGAGGATTCTGGGTTTCGCCGACGGCTGGCGATGGAGGATCCTCTCGAGGGCTCTCCGGAAATTCGAGCGCATTGGCTGTGTCAGGCGGGTAAAGGCTCAGTCTCAGTATCAAGAGACCATGAAGGCGTTGCATCCTTGCGTCATGTTGATTCGTGAGCCGACTGAGCGGGATCTCGAGCTGTTCCACCAGGATAGCAAGATCTTATTTTCCAACCTGGAACAGGAGAATGATAACAATGCCGAGCTTGAGGATGATGTCGATGCCGATCCGACAAAACAAGGGCCGCCTGCCACGAACGCTGATGGATCGCTCGTGGTCAAGCAAGAAGTCGTGGAAGGTGGGCGAACGCTCCCGCGATGGACTCCGGATCGAAACATCCATAACCTCATCTTTGATGTCATCGATAGCGCTGGTACTTCGGGAAGGACAAATGCCGATACCATTAGAGTCGGCTTTGGAGGCTTCTTTCGTCGCCCCTTGGAGAACACGTTAAGTCGTCTAGTCGAATGCTGGCAGGTTTCTCAACCTCCGCATCTCCGGCACCTAGCTCTTGTTCGAGACACTGCTCTCAGCAAGACGGTCACCCACTACGTTCATTACTCCGCCAAGAACTTCAAAAAGTTGGTGGATTCCGGGGCTGCCAGCTGGGAAGCGGTTGAGTTTGTTCCCAAAGATTCTAAGAGCGAGAAGATTACGGTGCCGCCTGTTGACGCTGTTCCTAAGCTTGACGAATATGGCTTGCCTCCAATAGATCCATCAGCTGATTTCATTAAGAAGGGTGATGCCACGCTTAGGGAGTGTGTGGCTGCGGCTAAGCCAGCGGATTATCTTCTATCAAGCAGTGATCCCGTGGCGGTATTGCTGCCGGGTGGTACATACAGTAAGTTGTCCCTTGTCATGAATGCTACGGCTGAGCTAAACTCTTCTCTAGCTGTTCGAAGCCGCCGCGACAATATCCCGCCGGCAGCATTGAAACGTATTACAAGGCCTACCAGGGTGCTTGGACGGCCGAAGGGAACGCCTAACAGACCAGCGTCACTTCACCAAGACGCCATTCCACTAGTGCCTGCGAAACGCGCTCCAACTGCTGTCGAACTGGATGAAGACTTTGACGAAGACTCTATTACAGTGTTCAAAAGGCCACGACTATCCAAAGGGGACCCGGAGCGATTCAAGGGCATGTCTGAGAAGGAAAAACTTGAGGCTCTGGGTTTGGACGAAACTTGGACTGAGTACAATGTCTTCTTGATTGAACGTCCCGCTCCTGGCGTCTACATCACTCCTCGTGGAAAGCGAAGGCCGGCGGGCCACAGGCAGGGTCGACCCAAGATTAGTCGCATCGCTATATTCAAGTCCCCGAAGCTACGGTCATTCCCATGGTTCATCGAGGAAGCAGCGGAGGGTATGTCTGACCCCGAAACGGTCGATACTGAGACCCCGGCTCCTACACCGAGTGTCGACGGTGCTTCTCAGAAAGCGCACACTCCTTTGAGACGTGCAAAGAGAACCCACCAGGAGGATGGCGATGTTGTTGCTGCACAAGAAGTAGGTGATGCTCAACCACCAAAGAGGCAACGCATCGACGAGAAAAGCGCAGCCGAGCAAGATGCCGGGTTGCCTGGTGGTGAGCCAAATATCGCTGGAGAGATCATACACGGCAAGAGAACCTGTCAGGAAGATGTCGAAGTCGAGGATATTACAGCGAAGGCGGATGGTCTTCAAGAGGACCGATCACCAAAAAGATTACGTCTCGAAGAGAACCAGGCTGGAATTACGGGGACACATCCAGAGGGTACCGTGGAAAGTGCGTTGTCCAAGCCAGTTGATTCAGAGCACATCGCCACGGCCGAGACTCACGACTCCGCTGCCGTTCGTGATGATCTGCAACCCGCAAAGGAAAATGAAGTGGGTGTAGCAAGTGTGATTTCCACGACCGAAGTGCGGCCTCAGGTAGCCCCTCGCGAAGTCTCGTACACCCCACGGGGCCGGAAAAAGAAGCCACGAAGTGAGAAGGGAGGCTCAGTGGCTGTGCTGAGAAGAAAGATCATCATGGATATCGTGGAAAAATGTGGCGGAGCGTTCCCCTTGGGCACCGAGCTGTGGTATCCATTTGTGACGGCTTGGATGAAGACAAAATACACCGAGAAGCCCGATTTACGCACTGTTCGATCAACGGCCAAACACCTGATTGACGCTGGCAAGCTGCGCCAGCTGACTTTCAGCGGCAGAGACAGCAAAGGCGTTATGGTCACCAAGAGTATCATCACGAAGCCAGAAATCGCGCCCGATGATCCCATAGTGAAAGACTTGCAGCATAAGATGCTTACCAGCGAGGCGCGCTTTTACATTCCCCCTGGTGTGGAGGTCGATCCGACGATCTCAAAAAGTACCCGGGGCGCGCCCAGCCGGACATTTGGAAGCGTGGCCAAACTGCCTTTTGAGCCAGGTGTTACTGTACACCTTCACCAAAAACCGGCACTTGTTGTTGCCCAAGAAAAGAGGAAGGGACAGAGTATCCAAAGGCGCCTTTTACAGGCGATTGGAGCCGATGCTTCTGCTGCTGCGGGCGGGCGTCGTAAGCCTGTTCGTCTTATGACCATCCAACGTCCATCTGCTCAGGATCCTTCAGCGGAAGGCATAACGTCCATCTCGAGGCCAGCGCCAGCTGCTCGAGCGAAGGCTCGACAACCCCTGCGCAAACTTGCCCCAGCTCCAGTCCCAGGCGGAGAGCCTGGCCAGGTCCCTGTCGGCCTGGCTGGCAAGATAAAACGGACGGTGCATCCAATCTCGACAATGGCACCGTACGCCATGCTCATGAATCCCCGACAGGAATTTCACCCTCCAACCGGAACATTTTCGTGCCATGCTGGCCTTTCGGCAATCCGAAAGCAGCAAGTGCCAGAAAAGAAGCCGACGGGCGTGCTGCCTCAATCTCTTACTGAGATAGTCAGCCAAACCAAGCCGCCTAGGACTGTATCTGCCGTGGATCCGCGCTCCAGCAAATTCTACGCGGAAAACGACGTAATCGCTAAATGGGAGATGCAGAATGCGGAGCTGTTCGATGCCAGGAACAAAGAGCTCGTGTATATCAACCAGACGATGTCGGAGCCTTTCCAGGCGGCTCCTATTGAAGGAGGCATTCGGTTTGATGTCGATGAGCCTCTTCCACAGCCTGTAGCGACGCCTCTGCCGAAGGTTACGCGCCAGGTCTCTCGTGCTATGGCGGTTGCAAAAGAAGCAGCTGTCCCATCAGCCGGTGTGCAGACTCCTGCGCTAGTCTCTTCGGAATCGAACGAGGCCTTGGCTGAGGAGCAACTGGAACAACCTCCGGCTCGACCACCTGCTCGTCGTAAGGCCGTTCGGCGGAATCGGTTTGCTAGAGCCATGCCTGAGGCTTTTGTCCGCAAGCTCATGAACGCGATTGTGGTTGTCAGGACGCTGGCAGGGGGTCTAGAGGGCAAACATGTTGACTGGAGCCTTGTTGCGAAAGCCTTCCCCGAACATGATCCGCAATTTATCCACGATCGAGGAAAGGCGATTCTGAGCCGCAACAGACTGCAGATGGCCAAAATGCAGAGTGACTTTCAAGAACGGTTCATCGAAGCCTACGAGAGGGACGAAGTGCCTCGGATCGATTACGACAATCTGGAAGGCTATGATTGGGGCAAGGTAGCGGAGTGGGCGGACTCCCAAGTCGATATTCCCAAGTCGCAGCTAGTCCCTGATCTCCCAGCAACAAGAGAACAGTTTGATGAACTGTTTGAACTTCGCGAGGAGTCCCCGTCATCGGCTCTCGATCAGCTTTATACCAACAACCCGGTCGCCACGCTGGGCAAGAAACGAGCTATCTATGCCAGCGTGCTGTTTGCGATCCCTCTGAAAGAAGAAAGGCCCAAGAGCCATGCGCAGAAACAGAGGCAGGCCGAGCTTTCTCGTCTCGAAACTGCAAAGACCTGGATTCGCGCCAACGTCGTTGCAGGGGAGGAAACGTACGACTCGGCGGCTGCCAGACGGTTGCTGGCGCGATTCCCACAGCCTCTGATCGACGACGCGTTGCAATCTTTGGTCACTGAGCGAGTCATAGCCGCAAGCAACCGGGGCCGCATCACGCCAGGACGCAACTTCAACCTGACCGATGTCTTCCATACGTCGCTGGGGCGCAAACGGGCGATTGACTCTGCTCTCCTGAAACGCGCGGCGCGGTTCAAAACGCAAGTCTTGGACGAAGACTTCCGCCAGCAGGGCTTTTCCGAAGTGCAATACAATGCCGAAGACGGGGATATCCTGGCGATCATCAACTTGGCGGCCGAACGGCAGGTGGTTCTCAAGGCCTATGATCCGCCGCGGGCGTTGTACGGGTTGACGGAAGGAGGATACGAGACGAGGGTGATCGCGAAGGACAAGTTCCGGTTCACGGTGCATGTGCGGCCTGTACGCGGGACGTATGTGTACGGCAATCCGATCAGGGAGCAGGCGTGCTCTGTTCCGCCGCCACGGGGGGAGATGGATGTAGCTGAGCCGTTGACGACGCTGCCAGGCAAAGTCCCCGTGTGGTTCGACGTCAACGGCAACCTAGTCAAGTCGATGTGGGACCAGGTGGTCGCCGCCGTGGTGGGCATAGTCGCCATCCGGCCTGGGATCGGCGCGGCGGCGATTGCCAGCATGGTCAAGCCGACGATGGGCGCGTGGGAGGTTGAGCTGGTGCTTGAATGGCTGGGCCGGGTGGGTGTTGCGAGGCGGCTGCCCCAGCCGCAGCGTGTGCATCACCATCCTAGTACAGCCGGATGGGTGGTTAAGGAATGGTGGTGGCTAGTCGTGTGACTCGATCGGTCGATCGATTGATCGATCGATGTATTTGACGTTGGCAGCGCGCGTTCTCTTCTGTTTCTTTCTGGATACATGTTTTCTACGACTATTGCTGTGTACTGTACTGTACAATACTGACGCGCTGTACCTTTCTTTTCCTTTTTTTTCTTGCATTTGCATGCATGGAGTGGAGTCTCGGGTAATTATTAAATGGGTTTTATTTGATTCAAATTCGTCAGTTTGTCAGAGGGACGATGTGGTCGGATGGATGGACGGACGGACGGACGAAGTTCAGGAGTCATAATGTCTACGCATGCATTTCTTTTTTTTTCCACTACGCTTTACATTATTATCTTGTTTTACTGTACTGTACGATTTTTGCATCATTGGTGCTGGTGTTGGTGGTGGATTGATTGATATTCTTTCTAATCTTTTTTTTTGGCCGTGGTGAGATGCCACCCTCCCTGGGAACTTACAGCATCCTGTATGTACATAGATCTGTACATACCTGCTTACAGACTGTCTTGATGATAATAATCAGGTAATATAATCCGATTGACCTGAAATACTTTCTTTGTATGTGTATACATGCGTTCTTCTATATCTACTACTTTTTCTTCCTGTTAATGCTTATATGCAGGACAGAGGAGAGATTGATAAAATTCGAGTTATATTGTGTCATATCATATCATATCATCGTTCGTTCATTCATTCATTCATTCTCTCGTAGATAAATAAGCAAATAAATACATCACAAATAACCAACCAAAGCAACCAACTAACTAACCAAACCAACAAAACTACAGGGGGTATATAAATATAATAAACGAGACTAGATCAGACAGACACGATAAAAAGAACAGGACAGAACAGGACAAGAAGGACAGTTCACAGGTTACTGGTTACTGTTTATATAGGCTCCAGCTCCTCCTCCTCCGAATTGGCAATCTTTCGCAGGATCATAAAGACTAATGCGATGAAGACGCCGACGATGGCGCGGTCTAGCCAGGGTGTTTCGGAGGAGGAGGAGGAGGAGGTTGTCGTCGTCGTCGTTGTTGTCGTTGTTGTGGTGGGAGTTGGTCTTGTAGATGTATTATTAGGTGCGGGTTCTGATGACGATTGCTGGGAGGATGAGGATGTGTTGGTCGAAGAAGATGCTGCGGCTGTTGCAGCCACCTGCTCGTGATCTTCACTCTTTTCCTGCGCTGTCGCGGACGATTGCTCCTCCTTCCGGTAATGCAGCTTCAACTCGTCCGGGACAGACTCTCGACCCTCCTCATCATCCACTGCGATCCCCTTCTGCCGACAGATTTCCCGCCACTCGTTCAGAATCTCCTCGTTCGTCTTCCCCCCTGAGCACACGTCGCAGCGCCACGAGCGGCTCTTCTCAGCCCACATCCGGCGCACGTCGTCCGTGGCGTCCAGCCCGCCCAGCTGGCCCTTTGCGTCGCCGTCCATGAAGCTGCGGATAGCGGTCAGGGCGGTGCGGATCCCCCACGCGGGCTGCCAGGTCTCCTCGTGGTGGCCGCTGATGCTGAGACAGATCTCGCGATTGACCTCGAAGCGGCCGGACGGGGTGAGGAAGCGGAAGGACGGCGGGCGCAGCGGATACTGCGGCGGCAGCACGATGCGGCCGTGGTAGATGCCGCCCGCGTAGGGCGACGGGGCCGGCGGCCCGGCCATGGTGAAGTGCCAGTCGAAGAGGTTCGAATCGGACACGGGATGGGCGCAGAAGTGCGGCGATGGCGAGGGTGACGAGGCCGACAGCTCGGCGGCCTCTTTCATGAGGCGCCGGAGGGTGGGGGACATGTCGATCGAAGTCGGATCAGGTGAGAATGAATCGCAAGCAGAAGAATCAGTGTCTGCAATCTGCAATCTGTCTGGTCGAGTGAAGGAGAGAGAGAATGCAAGGGAGTGCTGATAGAATCAGATAACGATCAGAGATCAACAGAGATGGCGACGACAAATGACAGGCTGGCATCTAAGACTATCACTGATTAGATTAGCGGCTTAGTCATCTGCGGGCGGAGATCAGGAGCTCGATGATTGGTGGTCGTCTATCGATACGGTATAGTACGGTTTCCATATATACATGCATCCCCAGAAAAACCCCCGACATCAACTCCCATTACTCCACATAAAATGCTCATTTATTTTGTTTAAAAGTAGTATACACCAAAACAATGATTACAGAAGAATCAGCTCAGCTAAATTTAACAAACTAAATATTAGATATACTACTCTATTTAGTGGAACAAGCAGTCAACCATTTATTTGCAAAGACAGATCTGAATTGAATTGGCTCTAGCAGTCTAATCTATTAAACAGGAATGATCAAGGGAGAAAGTCTCTTAGCACATATTTATGTCTATGAGTGTACAAAGAAGTTCAAAAAAAAACAATGTAGATCCCGTATCTTTTCTCCAACTCTGCAACCGGCAACAGGTGTCGGATATCTCCGACATTTATGAGGTCTTGTTAGGGCAAGGATGCCACTATAAGAGACAGACACGAATCAGCGAATGCCCTGATATACATATGTATATAATACAGGAACAGGGAAAACCTACCGTCGCACACCCACTATCATCAGGACAACACCTGCTCACCCCGTCAAGCGATTCATGAGTGACACAATCCTTCCCATCCAGGCAGACGGAGCAGGCGCCGGAATTGCAGAGCCCGCAGATCTTCTGCCCATTGCCGCAGGTGTGGCACGACCCGCAGGTGTCTCGTTGCGAGAGAGAAATCGATATCGAGCCGCGTATAGGAGACGTCTGGTGGGTAGACAGGTTTGTGGAAGGCGGCTGCTGCGGCGGCAATGCGAGGGTGGCGGGGAGAAGGAGGGTGGCAGTGGCTGCGATCAGGAACGTTTTGGAGAACATGGTTGTTTGTTGAGAAGGTCGAGCTGAGATTCAGTGTTTGATTCAGTGATTCAGTGATTCAGTGATTGCTTGATTGATTGAGGACTTGGTTGAAACAGCAATCCAGACGAGAAATTTCAACCATATTTATATCCTACTCTCTCGCCTTGGATACTCTAATGAATGGGGAGATTAACATTTGGGGGCTATACTCCACATAGTACAACACTATAAAAATCCCCAGCACGAGAACACCTTTCTATCAAGGGGGCTGAATTTACTGAAATGCCCATCTGAAATGTAGATCTATGTAGATCAGTGGAGGAACTCTGCCTGAGCGGATACTTGCAACCGGCGCTGTAGTTTATCTCTATCGTCCACACGACCGTTGGCCGCCACAGTGCCCACTACCCCGGACTTTGCCAAGATGGGGCCGAAGGATGCAGATTGCAGATTGCATTTAACAGTTGACTGCCAAGCAGGCAAACCTCTCACGATAGTGATGGTGCTTTTCTCCGTTGGAAGAATCCGTGCGCATTCTGTTCTGCCCTAACACTAACATCATGATGGAAATTGATAGTCAAACGTCGCTAACAGACGACTCGTCAAGGAGATCAGGACCCGAGAAGGCTTAGTTGGCTCCAATCCTCGACAAGAGTTCTTCCATCAATGTGTTCGATACTATCGCCAAAACTCCTTCGTCGTGCCGATCCCATAGAAACGGTTGGATGTTGATATAGATAGACCCCAAGCCAAGCCGGCACGATCATCTAGCTGCATCAGAGAGGGCTGAATCTGCAGTTATTCTGTTGCTGAATGAGCGAGCTGTTCGCTCGCAAAGAAATTGTCGTAACAGGCTTTTCGATGCATTATTCCGTGGGTTGTAATGTAGAATTCGAACTGATCTAGAGATTAGCAGTGAATTTATATAAAGCAATAAATAAAGCCATTTTGTTCAACTAACTGGCTCGCTTACCATCTTAAAACGCGTCCTTTGGTGGTTGTGCTAGTGGAGTGGCTCAAGAAAGAAGAGATGGCTAATGTCTTCTAGTTTCGTGTCGTCTTGCCTAACAGTCTCCAGCAGGCGGGGATAGAGTATCCCGCATAGGTTGTCGTATGGCTAATTATGCACATGTCGCCCGTTTGATATACCTATATTCTAACAGAACCACGCCCAATGATATTACGGATTGCTCTAGCTCAGAATATTTCCCAAAGTATGTACTGTACTAACATAGCAGGGAGGTGTTTCTTGTCCGTCCGTTCTCTCTTCTTCCTTCCCTTTTATTATCTCGTCTCTCTCCCTTCGTACCGTACACTGAAGTTAAGTTCAAGTCATCCTTATTCCTTATGTCTTTAGAGGCAGCAGACTTGACATGAGATACCGGCAGAACTCGACTCGATGAACCCGCCAAATAAAGTCTTCAAACTTTATTGATTTTCTTGCTCGCCAGAGATATATGCAGAAGAGCCTCCAACAATCTTACCGCCCCTGCACAAATATCCTTGTTAACAGCAATAGTCACGATGGATGGCCATCTTGCTTGTACTCTCTGCTCTGCTCTGTCCCGTCTGATGCTCAGCAGCACAGCGATTACAACGTCCAGTTTGCTTTCGGCCAACTCTCCTGCCCTATACCACATTTCTTTCTCTCTCTCTCTCTCTCTCTCTCTTCTTCTTCTCTCTCTCTCTTCTTCTCTTCGTTCGTTCGTTCGTTCGTTCGTTACGTT